TGTCAGCTGGTGCAAAAGAAGCACCTGACCCTTTTAGCTTCATCTCAAATGACCATGGCAAGGGCAACACACTAGAGCTTAGAAGCCTGGCGGGCTAGGCAGCGAGTGTGACAGCAACAAAGAACAGGCTTCTGAAGGACTGGTCCCAGGTGTTCCAGAAGCAGAGAAAGGACTTCCCATTGTCCCCTCCCTTGAAGGTCCACACAGCCCACCTCTGGCTGACCTTACATTCAAGTAGATACAGAATCTTATCCCAGGACTAAAATGACAGCGTTTCTTCTGTCCACCTTGTACAAACAGAATACTCAACCAGAGACAAATCACTCAGTTCCCAAAACACCTGAAGATGTTTTAAAAATTGTTAAACATCAGAGCTCTTTATTAGAAGCAATCTGTGGGTGATAATAAATCTGCTTTTAGAGCTTTATTTAGTTAGATTTTTTTAATGTGCTAAATAATAGAAGGTACTGCCAGCACCATCTCTGACCAGTCTGCAAACTTAGAGCATTCAGCCTCTGCTTGCAAACTGAAAAGTTAGTTTCCTAGACAGCACCTGTGGTCTGAACTTCAGTACTTCTCTAAGGAAAATCTTACCAGGAAAACTGCCTCAGAATCTGTCTATTAACAGAGCTAATAACCAAGCTCTTTAAAGGTAATAGTAGGTTTATATTGAGTTTTATATTTTCCATGTTCCGAGGTGGCCATTTTCATTGCATATGTCATCCCACTAATGTGGCTACACATATTTGTTTGTTGATGCCTGACAGTTCAGGTCAGTCAAATTGCCTGCCCCTCTCAGGCGGTGTGCTCTCCACTCCCAGAGATGTGGGATTTAACAGAGAGACACTAGATGGACATTGTTTGAAATTTTAGATTTTTTTTTTGAGACAGAGTCTCGCTCTGTCGCCTAGGCTAGAGTGCAGTGGCGCGATCTCGGCTCACTGCAAGCTCTGCCTCCTGGGTTCAGGCCATTCTCCTGTCCCAGCCTCCCGAGTAGCTGGGACTATAGGTGCCCGCCACCATGCCCAGCTAATTTTTCCTATTTTTAGAAGAGATGGGGTTTCACCATGTTAGCCAGGATGGTCTCCCATCTCCTGACCTCGTGATCTGCCTGCCTCGACCTCCCAAAGTGCTGGGATTACAGGCGTGAGCCTCTGTTCCTGGCCTTGAAGTTTTAGATTTTTAATTAAATTTTGTGTTGATTTAGGATCATAATTCCCATTTATTAATATTGTTATATTCTGATTCTTTATATCTAGTATATTAGCCTTGTGTCACCCAAGCATGTGATCAATATAACCCTTCATCCAAGTCATGAATAAAAATCTTTTAACTGTGATGGAATATAAGATGAGCATTGAATATATTGTAGACCTGTTTACTGTCATAATAAGATATCAATAATAAAGTGAAGACTGAATAAAAAATCATTGAATATTATGCATTTTTTATTCTATTGTTGTTACAAATGTGTTTGAACATAAACATAGAAAAAGGCCTGCAAGGAGATGTACCCCCACAAAAAATCATATCAGTATATATCTCTTAGTGGTCAGGCTACCAGTAATTATTTGCTTTCTTTTTAATTCCTGTACCTATCTTCTTTTTTTGTTGCTCTGTTGCCCAGGTTGGAGTGCAGTGGTGTGATCTCGGCTCACTGCAATCTGCACCTCCCGGGTTCAAGTGATTTTCATGCCTCAGCCTCCCGAGTAGCTGGGACATGCACCACCATTCCCGGCTAATTTTTTGTATTTTTAGTATACACAGGTTTTGCCATGTTGGCCAGGCTGGTCTCAAACTCCCAGCCTCAAGTGATCTGCCTGCCTCGGCCTCCCAAAGTGCTATGATTACAGGTGTGAGCCACCATGCCTGGCTCCTGTACCTATCTTCTAAAAAATAATATAATTGATATGCAGTTGTTTCATAAACAGAGAACATGAAAAAGGATTCTATATTTTAAAAAATTCAAAAGAAAAAATATCAAAGAGAGTCCTGTGGTTTTTAAAGGCCTTCCAGGTCTGAAAGACTGGTTTCAGACTGCCATGTTGCACAGAATTACCAGAAAAGATTTTTAAAAACATCTCCCCTGGGAGAGTCACCAGGTGATACTGATGTTGTCGGTCCCTAGCCAGCTAAAGGACAGAGCCACCTAATTTAGCTATTGACACATCTAACTCTTCTGCCTCTTACTAAATGTGGGACCTCAGGTTACTTGAATTTAAGAAAAAAAAATTTGTTTCTCTTGAGCGGCAACATGCAATATTAACACCAATCCTGAAGGATGGTAGCAAGGCTTAAATGGAGTAATGCCTAATCCAGTGCTGGCACACAGTAAAGCCTAGTAAATGATACGTTGGTCTCCATAGCATCTAGCCCATGGTTCTCAACCGTATCCATAGGTCATTCCATGCCACAGGTCTTCCTTCTCCCTTTGCAGCATGTTCTAGACCAAGAGGAAGTAAAGTAAGCAGTGGCTTAGTATGGGTGTTACTGTTGCTGCCAACTTGTGGAAATCATTGTTTCAAATGCTCTCCATATAAAGCGATAACCCCCTGATAAATGACTTATATTTTCACCCTTTTAAAAAAAACCCTTTGCTTCTTTTTTTGTGGCTTTCCCATTGGAGTGGAAATCCCCCTTAGAATTCAGGTAAGCCCAGAAGTTCATTCAAGAAACATTTGCAGTTGTGCCTGAAGCAGGCTGCTAGGTATTGATATGATCTTCATTCCCCAAAGAACTTGAAGCCAAGTGGAAAAGACAAATCAGTAAAATAGAAGTTTCCACATCATAACATTTTAGAGGAATTTTTGTTGTTCTGAATATCTCACTTGCTGGGAGAGAGTAAAAGAGTAAACTTAATTTTTAAAATTCCTTTTTCAAATACAGCAGGATATTTAAAAAGCAATTCTTATGGGGGAGTTACCAATTTTGTATAGAACATGGTTCAAACCACTTCAGAAGGGCTGAGATCAAAGAGACTTAATCTTGAAGAGGTCACAGAACCTGGAGGCATTGTCTGGGAGGCATTGTTCTTGGGGTAGCAAGCTTGGCAGCTCCTCAGCGGGGATCGGCTAAGCTGATACACACCCCTGCTCCTCCCATCCCTTCTCCATGTGTGCTGTACCTCTTCCGCTCTTATGGCCCCAGAGTTCAGTGGCAGTGTGAGCAATGGAAAATTCCTTTGACCCCAGAACTGAGCTGTGAAGGTCATGCCAAGGGATGCATCTTTTCAAAATAGAACCAATGGATGTCAGCTCAGCTTCACTTTCTTTCTCTAAAGTCCAAGATACATTCAGTAGCCCCATAATCTCCTCTGTCTTGAAGGGCTGCAGGGAGAATGGTTAGCATAGTCGTTCTCCATGCAGAAGACTGGCCATCTGCTAAACTTGTAGACATCAAGATAATATCCTTTTATCTATCCCCTTAATCTTACCCTCCCTTTACAAAATTATCCTAAACATATTATTTCATCCAAGGTATTTCTAATGATTTTGTTTCTGTGGGAATAGTGTATATACATGAGGAACCCTATGTATTATAGTTTCAGGTGATTGAAGAGTGAAAGTAGAAAGTTGTAAAGTGCACATAAGTTATGGTTTCAGGTTTGTCATGAATTATTTTAATTTAAAATGTGATCTGTAGTTATCTATGCAATATGATCATTTGTAACTCATGCGATTGTAACTCACGTGACAATGACTGAGGCAAAGATAAAATTTTTGTAGCAAGAGCAGTTAACTATGCAATTTTGAAACGTATTAGATTTTACTATTTTATTATTATTGTAATGTATTAGATTTTACTATTTTATTATTATTTCAGTTCTGATGCCCTTTTGGTTTATGGTTTGTGACCATTAGATGGCACTGTGCATCTCAAATATGGAAAGCACTTGGAATTCAAATGCTAGGCTATGCAGAAGAAAGTAACATGCATTAGTTAATATTTTCATGTTATGGTTTAAATCCGGGTAGAAACATTTTATTTTTCATAAAAAATTTGCCAATGTTATAGTTTATTATAACATAAGGAGAAATCTGGAATGTAATTCCACAGTCTCATATGAAACTTACCTTGCATACAGAAACTGTTCCTTTCTATATATGACACAAGAATAATCCCTTTCAAACTTAGACTTGGGCCTGGGGCTCCTGAGTCAAATGAGAGAATACAACTCCTTCACCTCCACTTCAGATCATTGTGCTGCTGATTTTCTAAGAATGTTGGTGAACTGGTATATTTGCTGCAGTGGTCTCCAACCTTTTTGGCACAATTTTTTCACGGAAGGGGAGGGGATGATTTCAGGATGAAACTGTTCTACCTCAGATAATCAGAGATTAGATTCTCTTAAGGAATGTGCGACCTAGATCCCTTGAACGCGCAGTTCAGGATAGGGTTTGTGCTCCTGTGAGAATGTAGTGCTGCCACTGATCTGACGGGAAGTGGAGTTCAGGGGGTAATGCTCACTTGCCCGCCGTTCACCTCCTGCTGTGTGGCTGGGTTCCTAACAGGCCTTGGGACTGTTACCCATTCGTGGCCTGGGGGTTGGGGACCCCTGGTCTAGTGTGTTCTCTCATTTGTACGTCCTTATCACCAGAAGCGTGTGCTTACAAATAGGACACAAATTCATTTACAAATTACAAATCATCTGAGGTGCTAGTCTGAACTCTAGAAAAGAATACAATTAATTGGCTTTCAATCCCAGAAGCTAGCTGTATTACTCTCATCTTTAATCAGCTAATGGAAGATGATGTTACTGACATTTCATCCCCAGACTTCGTCCCCTACATAGCACAGTCCTTGATACACCAACAGTCTCTTTGTTGCCCTTAATCTCCAGCCTTCTCTCTTGCTGTACACCCCCTTCACTCCAGAGCTCTGCCTGAGGCCTTCTACAACTCCCCTGGAGCAGTCTCACTTGTGCCCAGGACTCCAGTTCCTTAATGGTATTAATGTTTCCCAGTCTGTATCTTCAGTCCATGTAGCCACTTCTTCCACTTGGATGTCTTCAGGCACTTCTAAACTTAACTCATCCAAAATAGTACTCACTATGCCCAACTGGAAACTTAGTGTTCCCTCTCTCAGGGAATGCCGCCATCATCAGTGACATGCCCCATGCAGAGATCTGAGAGTCAGGATTAACCTTCTCTTGCTCTCATCCCTCAACTTACCCAGGGATGAGGGGAGGAGCCAGGATTTAGAACCAGGAATTGCAGCTCCACATCACCATCCCTTATCTACAACATGATAGAGAAATAAGATACAAATTCATTTACAAATTACAAATTATCTGAGGTGCTAGCCTTAACTCTAGAAATGTGAAACACATTTTCATTATTTTAATTGAGGACACTAGTATCTATTTAATAAAACTTTGTCATGTGGCCCTGTTTCAGTATGTAGATATCTGAGAGTAAGAGGGTAGATTTTTTGTTTTTGTTTTTACCAAAACTCTTTTTTCCTGCTTTTTACTGTTACCAGCGGCGAATCCCTCTGGGTCTGCAGCAAACTCAGTTCTTGCCTCCTCAGAAGAAAGAATTTGACCACGGGGCATAAAGCAGAAAGATGGTGCAAGGCAAGTTTTAGAAGAGGAGTGAAAGTTTATTAAAAAGCTTTAAAGCAAGAATGAAAGGAAGTACACTTGGAAGAGGGCCAAGCGGGCGACCTGCGAGATAACGTTAGTGGTTTTACCTTTTGACTTGGCATGCTTCTGGGGTCTGGTGTCCCTTCTCCCTTGATTCTTCCCTTGGGTTGGGCTGAGATAAAAGCACTATCTTATGTTCAAAGACCATGTAATGTAGGGTAAAGGAGAATAACTATATTTACACCATCAGAACACAGTGTATAGGTGCCGTGAGGGAGATGTATACTGGGGCACATGGGTACAGGAAGGGAGAATTTAAATCCTCATGGTGGTTCCAGAAAGATTATACTGAAGAAGGGTCCACATGTGCAATGACCAGCCAGTGCCTGGGGGGGGCTGTATGCTCAGTTTGTTTATTGGAGTTGTATGCATGCTCAACTGAGGCATTCTTCCCTTACCAGGCAAAAGTTCCTAGAAGGTCATATATACCAGTTAAAGTCCGCCATGTTGCCTCTCAATCCTCATGCTTGAGCCCACTCACTTAGCTCCTGAGATCTTATTGGGAAGCTGCGGATCACAACTTTCAGGTTTTTTTCTACTGGGAGACTGCCTTCCCCTGGGGCCACCTGTGACCAATGATTATTTTAGAGAAACAGTGTAACAACCACCTGACCATCACTTGATGGTGGCCTGGCATTCCTGGTGGGGCAAGAGGAGCCCTCTTCTGCCCTGCTCATACCTGACTAGCTATCTACCATAACAGTACCACAGCATCCTTGTCTCAAAACCTTGCAGTAAACTTGCAACCTTTTGCCTTTCAGGTTTTCACCTCCACTTTCATCTCCCATGACACCTTTTTTTGAGACAAGCAAAGCCTCTCAGTTCAGCTTATACATTTTTGAATTCACCCTCCCAACCTAAAATCAAACTAGAGCTCTGCAATTGGAACATAGCTACAGAAGTTAACAAACTGTATTGTTATTTGATATAAGAAAATGTGATTACAAACATATGCATTATTATAAAACCTATTTTAAAATAAACATTTCAAAGGACAAATAACATTTTTCAACAGTTTGAATACTGTCTCACCTTTTCAGAAGTAATACCATTGCAAAGATCCTTTCCCCATATGTAAGTTTTTCTTTCTCTTATAATCCAAAGCCTGTGAGTGTATGTCCAAAGTCTCATTTCTCTACTTTATCTCATAATATAGTTTTCCTTTATCTTTTCCATTTTTCATTTAATATTGAACTGGAGCATTTTTTAGCATTTCATTCAGTATCTGCTATGTAATCTTTTTGTTTTGTTGTATGTTTTACTTTTTTGTCAGAGGTTTTGGAATACTTCTGTAGGATATGTTTTCTTAGATAACATGTAACAGGAAGGGAATCAAATTTAAAGGGAAAAATGTTTAAATCATCTTCTCAAGACCAATAGTATATTCTGACTGAAAGAATCTCCATATGAATATCATTCAACCACTTGATCAAACAGCATTTATGGAGCACCGCTAAGCCTGGCAATAATACGATGGGCACTGGGAAAATGAGATAAAAGCACAGTCTTATGTTCAAAGATCACATAATGTGGGGTAGAGGAGAATAACTATATTTTAGACCATCAGAACACAGTATACAGGTGGTGTAAGGGAGATGTATACTGGGAGACAAGGGAACAGAGAGGGAAAATTTAAATCCTCATTGATACAGGAGTTAAAAAGAAATAGGCAGATAGTGAGAGTAAGGAAGTCTTTGGTAAGGTTTTCCTTTTAATGAAAAGCAACCCCCAAATCATTTATTTTCTAACAAAAAGCAGCCTGAAAAATCGAGCTGCAGACATAGATAAGCAGGCTGGAAGCTTGCATGGGTGAATGGCTGGCAGCTGTGACAATAGGGAAAGGCTACCTGGGGGCTAGGCATGTTCAGCATGGCAGTTCCATCTTCCCTTTTCTTTGTCAACCTCGTGAATGGTAAAGAACAGAAAGCGTGGCACTGGCAAGGTAGAAAATCCATTTGTATAATAAAAGAGTAGGGTGGGGTGGTCAGTTTCTTCTCCTGTTATGTAAGCATCACACCTGGTCCAACCAATCTTTGGGCCCTATGTAAATCAGACACCACCTCCTCAAGCCAGTCTATAAAACCTGTGTACTTCAGGCGCCCCTCTCTCTCTGCAGGAGAGGGATTCTCTTTTCTCTTTCTTTCGCCTATTAAACTTCTGCTCTTAAACCCACTTCTTGTGTGTCCATGTCCTCGATTTCCTGGCGTGAGAGAATGAACCTCAGGTATTTACCCCAGACAGACAATGACTCCACTTCATCATGGTGGTTCCAGAAAAATTACACTGAAGAAGGGTCACAAGCTAAATCTGGAAGGATGAATCAGCACAGCCATTATTATCATCACTGAAATACATATGATTGGGTTTGAACTTTGGAACTTTTATTCAGAAGGAAAAGAAACATTTTTCAAATAAAGTTATAGGGTATTTTTTGCATTTTTGCATATATCTTACCTAAGATATCTCTTGGGACTTTTTTACTTCAATTATATTTAAGATTTAAAATGTCAGAATGTTTCACATTTTGTGTTTATGTCATAGTTTTTGGCATGCAACTTATGCTCAATTAAGGTGAAATGTGCATACAGTGAAATGTACACATCTGTTCAGGTACTGTGGCTCATGCCTGTAACCCGAATACTTTGGGAGGCTAAGGCAGGAGGATTGCTTGAGTCCAGGAGTTGGAGACCAGCCTGGTCAACATGGTGAGACCCTCTCTCTACAAAAAATACAAAATTAGCTGGGTGTGGTAGTGTGTGCCTATAGTCCCAGCTACTCAGGAGACTGAGGTGGGAGGATCACGTGAGTCTGGGAGTTCAAGGCTGCAGTGAGCTGTGATTGTACCAGTGCACTCCAGCCTTGGTGACAGAATGAGATCCTGTCTCAAAAGAAAGTACATATCTTAAAGGCAAAATTTTATGGATTTACCAAATGATACACCCTTGTAACTACCACAAAAAGTTTATGATATAGAATTTTTTTCATCATTCCCAAGAGTTCTCTCATATTCTCTTTCAGTTGACATTCTACATAGGCAACCACTGACCTGGTTTCTATCACCACGGAGTTTTCCCTGTTCTATTTCTTTAACAGAGAAAGGGCTATTCGTATTTTCCATTTCTTCTTGTGTCAGATTTGTATGTGTTGTGTTTTTCAAGAAATGTGTCCAATTTATCTAAGTTGTTGAATTTATTGGCATAATGTTATGCACACTATTTCCTTACTATTCTATTAATAACTATATGATCTGTGGCATAAAACGTAAGCATATACTTATCATAAATCCTGCCTTAAGCAAATTATAGGCTGTGAAGCATATAGCATTCTTGCCTTTCCCAGAGGGGTCCACTTCAGTTGTTTTACACATTCCTTCTGAAGCAGTATACCCTTTCTTTATGGCATATAAGCCCTGGGTTGGGGTTGGGGGAAAGTGTGGGGATCCACCACCTCATCTCATGGCTGCCCTAGACATGGCTTCTGTTCCTAAGTTCCTATTAAAGGTTTCTTTCTGAGAAAATGGATTTGTCAGCCTCTTTCTTCAACATCTCAGCTACCTTAATTTTAGGGGGGGTAGGTTTGCATAGACCTGCTCTCTATGGAACATCCACAAATTTTGATTTTTAAAATTATTATTCAGGCTAAAATATCATCTACATTTACTGTGATTTCTTCTTTAACTCAGTTATTTAGAAGTATGTTGTGTGACTTCCAAATATTTGGGAGTTTTAAGATATTGTTATTGATTTCTAATTTCATTCTGTTATGTTTAGAGAGCATATTCTGTATTTTTCAATCCTTTGAAATTTATTAAGCCACATTTTATATTTCAGCACGTGATCTATCTTGGCAACTAGTCCATGTGCACTTGAAAATCGTGTCTATTCTGCAGATACTAGGTGAAGTATTCTCTATATATCAATTAGGTTAAGTTGGTTGATAGTGTTCAAATCATTTATATATTTTTTTCCAACTTCGATTATGATTTATTAGACAAGACAGTAGAACAGTGCTACTCAACTATTTTTTTTTATTATACTTTAAGTTCTAGGGTACATGTGCATAACGTGCAGGTTCGTTACATATGTATACTTGTGCCAAGTTGCTGTGCTGCACCCATCAACTCGTCAGCCCCCATCAACTC